TATATATATATATATATTCATATTTAGAGAGCGAGGAAGGGAAAGGAGAGAGAGAGAAACATCGATGTGAGAGTGAAACATTGATCGGCTGCCTCCTGCATGCCCCCTACCGAGCATTGAACCCAAAACTGGGGCATGTGCCCTGACCAGGAATTGAACCGGCAACCTTTTGGTGCATGGGACATGCCCAGCCAACTGAGCCACAGTGGCCAGGGCTAGACGGTCTCATTTTAAGTGTTCTGTGGTTCTGTATTTCTTTTAGAAACATTTCTCCTGTCCTTCCACGTGTGTGCTTTCTGAGTTTGACCATGTTTAGATTCAGTCGTAAATGTGCTAGGCAGAGACTTATTGATTCACGTCTGGCTCACTTGCACTGTTTAGTCACAGCACAAGGTATTACTGTGGCAGCTTGTTAAGAACGTCCATTCAGATTGTGAGCAATGTTTCAGGGAGGAAGGAAGGGGCACCTTTGTTTCTCCTTTCTTTTGTCGTTCTCATTTTGATTTTCCCTGTATCCCTTGGGACCTGTGTTTAAAATTCTGTCGTCAACCCTCCCCTTTTTCCCATTCATTCTAGCACAGTTGAGATATTTTCAAAAGGATTTTTGCTTATATATATATATATATATATACACATACATACATATATATATATATATATATATATATATATATATATATGGAAGCACAGGTTTCTAATCTTTACAAATCCAATAAAACCAGGAAAGGGGTTCACTGGATTCTATCTTTTCTCTTTGTCCTAAATTAATTCTGTTCTGGCAGTTACTTGATGGGCTGGCACATCTCAGGCCTCCTGCCAAGTTTCCATTCCTCCTTGCTCCCTGTTAGCTCTCTGCCTAGTGTTCTCAGGAGGATGCCGCTGTGTCCCTTGATCCTGGGATAGGACCCAGGAGTCTGAACAATTCTTCATCTCTTCTCTGAGGACAGACAACAAACTAGATATCTTTAAGCCTTTTCTCTTCTTGTTTCAGACCTTCCAGATTGCTCTAGGCCTCTGCACACACTTCTGGTTTCTAGGTGAGGGTTGTGCCAGGCCCTGGCAGATTGGAAGGGCAGGCTCAGGTTGGCAGCCCTACTTACTTTGAAACGTTCCAGTTCCCTCCTCAAAGGCGAGGTTTGTGAGCATCTGCCTGAAACAGTCCTGCCCACGGGGGGTGGGGAAAGGAGGATGCGCTCTCGCGCCCTCCTGAGCGTATCTAACCCGTGTCAGCGCCTGCAGTCTCGTATGTAAAAGCAAGAACGGACTTGCCTTCAAGAGGCATTAGGCTCCCTTGGTTATGTGCTTTAGAGAACAAACAAGCTTATATGTTAGTTTTCTGCTGTAGTTTTTTTATCCATGAATTTAAGGGTATTTCAGTATCTTTTTCCTGTCAGAGTCTTTATTAGCTTATTTCTGAATTTAATTTTCATAAAGTCCAGAGCTATACAGCCCAAGCTTGCTTTATTGTTCTTTTCTGTTAGAATGACTCATCAGGCCATTGTATTGAGTGATTTTGCTATTTTAACCTTGGATTATATCAGAGGTAAGAGACAAACTAAAGATACATTATTGCCAGAATTTTACTTAGCATTTCTGACCTACCAAGTTTAAATTTAATTTTTAAAAAACTAAATGAATTTTATATGATTTTTAAAGGACATGATACTTTGTCATTATGCTTTTAGTGCTTAAGTAGATATCTTTAACTTCAGAAGAGGTAGTAGAAATACTGAGTTTATAAACCATTTTTTATGAAAAATTGAGAAAATTTACAAAATATACCTATGGAATGTGAAGGCACCAATGATGCTTCTCTCTCTCTCTTTTTTTATATGGTTTTATTGATTTTTTTTTTTTTTGAGAGAGAGAGAGGAAGGGAGAGGGATAGAGAGATAGAAACATCAATGATGAGAAACATCACTGATTGGCTGCCTCCCGCACACCCCCTGCTGGAGATCGAGCCGCAACCTGGGCACCTCTTAGCACACCGGCTGGGCAGGGATGCTTCTCTTTATAAAAAGATTGCATATCAGACTCAAGTGGTTAATCTGAGGCTATAAAAATATGTTGGCCACAGAATTTGGAATTCTAACCAGGCTTCTTAGAGTGCATGTCTGCTGATCTGCATGTTAGTGTGTGTCTGAGCCTGCCCGACTAAGGAACTTGGTGACCAGGTATTGTCTTGCTCTTGCTGTGGAGATAGTGCCTTCCTAGTTCTCAAAATAGTTCTGACCTTGTTTGATACCATATCTGATTGCAGTTTCTCTTTCTTTGCCAGGGTTTTTATTCATTGCCACTTTCTAGGCTTACTCTGTTGTTTAGTTAAAACAAACAAACTTATAATTTTTTTTTTTTAAATATCTTTATTGATTTCACAGAGAGGAAAGGAGAGGGAGAGAGAGAGAGAGATAGAAATATCAGTGATGAGAGAGTCATTGATCGGCTGCCTCCTTCAGGCCCCGACTGGGGATCGATCCCGCAACCCAGGCATGTACCCTGACCGGCAATCAAACCCCAATCGCCTGGATCCTAGTTCGATGCTCAACTGCTGAGCCACGCCCAGCCGGGCTATAATTGTATTTTCTAAACTTGGTTGGAGTTCTTTGATGTGGTTCATCCTTTATTATTGAGATTATCTGTATATTTGCTGAATTCCCCCCTTGTTTCTCTTTTGTACCCTTAACAAAACTGTTCTAACCTCTTCACGGGCTATCTTCTTTTTCCTTCCACATCTTGTTTAGTTTCTGTTGTTGCTGTTCTTATCTGGGTATATTTAAAACTGTTTTTCTTTCATATATCATCTTTTTAGAGTTGAAACACAGAACTTTGCATTTCTTTATTTGTTGATTTGGAATTCTGTCCTGTGGCCAGCGTGCTTTGCTCTCTGTAAAGCCATCTCTTTGTCCTGGCTTTGGTAGCTCTAGATTAGTCTGTAACTTTTTTTATTTACAATCCTAATAGTAAAAAGAAAGAACGTGTCCTCCATAAACATTTTTTTCATGTCATATATTTATCCTATTGTGCATATCTGTTACAAATATCATATACATACCTACATGCATTCATTTATTCAGCTGTTCTTATTGTGTAGCTGCCATGTGCCAGGCACTACTCTGGGCATTTAGGATAATATGTAGTCACCTAGCCCTGGCCAGTGTGGCTCAGCAGTTAGAGCATCAGTCCTGCACCGGAGCGTCACGGGGTTTGATTCCCAGTATAGTGACCTAAACAGACAGTCTTTTCCTTCATGGGGTTGACATCATAATAAAAATAAGCAACAGATATCATTGATAAGTAAATTACATGTCAGAAGGGGATAAGTACCATGAAAAAAAAAAGAAAAAGTAAAGCAGATTAAGGGGACAGAGTTCAGGTGGGTTTGCAATGTAAGCTTAGGGAGGTTAGGTAGATCTCATTGAGAAAGAGACATTTGAGCCAGTACTTGTGAAGGAAGTGAGTTATCCATGTAGATATCTGGGGGTAGAGTGGTCCAGGCAGAGGGAATGACTGGTGCAAAGGCCATAGAGTAGCAAAATACGCCTGTGTGTCTAGCTAGTGTGACTAGAGTGAGGTAGCAATGGGAGAGGGCTAGAAAATCAGATCATAGAGAAAAGGGGGTGGGAGGAATACAGATCTTGTGGGATCTTGAGATGGGGTGAGATTGCAGGATTTTGAACTGAGAAGTCACATGCTCTCTTAGTTTAAGAGTCCTGTAGCCTCTGTGTTGTGTTTGTTTTTATTGGTTGTTTGCAGTAGGGTATGAATCAGGTCCAGGGGAGAAGTGTAGCACCAAGCTATGCTTTAGTTTGTCGAAACACACACTTTGTTTGAACAGGATCCTGTTGTGATTAAAATTACATGACCAAGTAGATAATTCATATGCCCTAAGTATAAGACGTGAATTTAGTTCTTTTTGCCACTGTGAGATCCCTTTTACTTTCATATTGTGTTTTTACTCACTGTGGTCTTCTTCTGGAATTGTTTAATTCATTCCAACAAAGCAGTTTTTTTTGAGCACTTACTGTGTGCCAGAAACTGCCTTGGACCCTGGATGGAGATGAAAGAGAACCATTTGGTGGTGGTGACAGACAAGTAGACAGATGGCAGTACAGTGATACATTGCAGTAGAGGCAGCGCAGCCTCCCTTAGGAACCATAGAGGCGTGTACGCACTCACGTTAGGCGACAGCAGACTCTGGGGAGACTCCCTGGGGCCTTATCCTGAAGGAGGTCTCGAAGGTAGATGGCTGAGCAGAAGGGACTGTGCCTTAAGCGGTGCGATCTGTTTGGGGGAGTGGGAGTGGAAAAAGGTTGATTTTTGTTGATAGCGGGGAAATAGAACATCGTTTCCTGGGCAGCTTCGGATAAGACAGCTTTACAACAGTGTTCTTACATAGCCCGTTAGCCCATTATCGTGAGGTTCAGAAAAAAAGTAATGATTTATCTCTTGCAGGTAAACCTTATTCCTGCTCTACAAATATTTTATTTTTTTAGTCTTGAACTTCCAGATGTAGTCTTGTCAGTACATTCCTAGTTTTAAAAATATATTCAGTACTAAGGAAGGTGCCCACTCCTTTAACTTTCTTGAGAGAAAAATGATATTACAAGGAGGGTACTTGAAGGCAAGGAGCTTTTCCTTGTCCCACGGGTTGGTATGAAGTCAGCGGGAATGGAGGCCCTTTGGTGTTAAACATGGTCCAGAGTTGATGGCCATAGATTTAATGTAAAAAATCTGAAGCCTGAATTCCTTTGGGAAAAGCAAGATGTTTTTATGATTCTACAACTAACAAGGACTGGCTTTCCCCACCTGGTCTTGGCACCTTTGGCAGAAAATTTGGGAATGTAGTGTGACCTGATTTCTCAGGCAGAAACCCTTCCTTTGAGTGAGGGAGAGCCCCTCACCAGTGCTGGGTGTCGTGGGAAGTCTGAGCAGAAGGAGCTCATGTTGCCGTCTGGTTTTCCTGGACCCTTCTCTGAGTGTGAGGTGAACAGGGATAGTTGCTGTGACATACTCGAGCGCTAAGTCACATCCTTTAGAGAACTGAGCAGAAGAGAACGTGGGCTTTGTGCCTACAGAGGTAGATGGAGGAGACGAGACCAGCGCTGCGTCATTAAATAAAAATTCACCAACTGCCTCTCACGCCTGAACCAGGGGATACTGCGTGTCAGGGCACCAGAGTCCCTGCTCTTACCCCTGTTGCAGACCCTCTGAGCACTGGGGAACTATCTTGTCGGGAGCTTTGATTCCCTCTTTCCTCTTTCTTTCTGTTAGGAAAGAAGAATACGCTGAACAGACTCTGACCTTTGGCTTTCAGCTCGCCAAGACCTTCTACCGAGCTCTCCTTTTGTGGCCCATGTGCTGCATCGTCTGCCCTCAGTGTGCAACGGGCCCCCAACGCAATGTGTGTTTGTCAAACCATGGAAGTGGGGCAGTATGGCAAGAACGCGAGTCTGGCCGGAGACCGGGGAGTCCTCCTGGAGCCCTTCATCCACCAGGTGGGCGGGCACAGCAGCATGATGCGCTATGATGACCACACTGTGTGCAAGCCCCTCATCTCCCGGGAGCAGCGCTTCTACGAGTCCCTCCCTCCCGAAATGAAGGAGTTCACCCCCGAGTACAAAGGTTAGTCACTGACCTTGGACTGCTTCCCTCAGCTCAATTTTCCTTGTTTTGTTGGCCCTATGATGTCTCTCTCTCTTCTCTTCCTCCTCTCTAAAAGTCAATAAAAAAAAAATCTTTAAAAAAAAAAAGGCCCAGGGATTGAGGCAGTGCCCATCTAGAGAAGGAAATGGGCCAAAGAGAAGGCTGTTCTTGGTTTGACGTATTGGCATATTTGTAAATGCTTCTCACTAATTTTCAGATTATAGAGCCAATTTCGCACATCGGGTGAGGAGAAACATAGCAGAGGGTGGATGTGGAAGTTAGACAGAAGGCAGCCTGGACCATTTTTAAAGACAGAAAACAAAAACCCTCCTTCCTTGAGTTAGGTTTCTAGGTGTTGTGTTTTAAGTGGTTTGGTAATGATTTAGAAGACATTACAAACAACCTGTTTGATAAAAATAGACACAACAAACTTTTGCATGCATACAGCAATGGAAAATACAAAGCTGTCGGCTGAGTGGAAGTTCTCTCTGGGGAGGTTAGCTTAGCATCACGATCAATGTGCGCAGAAGAAGTACTTCTGGGACTATCTGGGAGGGAGAAGTCTGAATGTCTCTCTAATGACACTGTCAGGCAGAAGGGCTCAATGTAGAGGAGGCCACAGGAAATGGCAGCTTCACAGAGCCATTAAATAAGTAGTGGGTTAGATTGCGTCAGGTATGCATGTCACCAAGGGGACACCATTCTTCTTGCGCACTGTTAAAAAAGTCATTAACTGCAAGTGAGAGCTACAGATAAGAGGGTGAGAAATAAATACAGATTTATCCGAGATCAAAGGTAAGTAGCAGACTCAGAGTGGGGTGAGTGGTAAGCTATCTTATGGAAAGATGTCTGCTGTCACTGTTCCTACGTTGATCTATAGTTTGTTCAGGGCAGGTGATGTTTGTGTGCTGTAGGGACAGCCAGCGCCAGCCGTCTGTGCCACATGGGCCCAGCCTGTGTAGACATGTGTTGACTGGCTGCCATTTTTTCAACAGGCGTCGTGTCTGTCTGTTTTGAGGGGGACAGTGATGGTTACATCAACTTGGTGGCCTACCCTTATGTGGAAAGCGAGACGGTGGAGCAGGATGACACACCAGAGCGGGAGCAACCGCGGCGCAAACACTCCCGCCGGAGCCTGCATCGGTCGGGCAGTGGCAGCGAGCACAAAGAAGAGAAGGCCAGCCTGTGCTTTGAGCCCTCTGAGAGGTGGGTGGCGAGCAGGCTGAAGGGGCGTACCTGGCCCTGTCAGCACCACCACGAGAGCCCGGGCACATTGTGCATGGGAAGTAGGCCTGAGCTGGGGGGAGGTGGCTGGTGTTCTTGGGGCCACCCATATAGATATGACCTATCCCCTGTGTGTCACATCACCCCAGGGATGACTTCTGAGTGTGGCTTTGGCTGGTTGAGAGAGAATGAAGCTCTTTCAGCCCTTAGGAAGCAAGGATGCCCCTGCCCTCCAGCTTTGTTATATCTCTTGCTTGCCCCCAGGACAGAAGATCAAGATGCATTGGTCCACCGTGAGGCTGCAGCTTCTTTCTGACCTGCAGGATGTCAGAGCCCAAGGGCAAAGAGAAGCCATTCAGACTAGTGTTCTTTAGGGGCTTTGGGTGTCAGATCACTCAGAGACTCTGCTATCAGCTATTAACCCTTTCCCTGCACCTAAAATTTTGTTTATTGCATTGGAAATTGATTTTTCTTGTAAATTAGGAAAATAGCCTACAAAGAATTGTTTTTTGCTATTTCATGCAAAAAATGTGAACTTCCACTAGGGTGGCAATAATCAAAAGGACAGACAATGAAAGTGCTAATGAGAATGTAGAGAAATTAGAACCTTCCTACGTTGCTGATGGGAATGGAAAATAGTGCAGCTACTCTGGAAAACACTTAGTTCTTCAAAAAGCTAAACCCAGCAGTTCCACTCCTAGGTATATACCCAAGAGAACTGAAGAAATTTAACACATACAAAACTTGTACACAAATGTTCATAGCAGCATTAGTTCTAATAGCCAAAAAAGTGGAAACATGCCAAGTGTCCATCAGCTGATGAATGGATAAATAAAGTGGTATAGCTGTGCAATAGAATATTACTCAGCGATAAAAAGGAGTGGAGTACTGACGCACAGGATGAACCTTGAAAACATTATTCTCAGTGAAAGAAGCAAGTCACAAAAAACATGTTTTATGATCTATTTATATAAAATGTTTATAATAAGCAAATCCATAGAGACAGAAAGCATGTTAGTGGGCCAGAGACTGAGGTGGGGGAGAGGAGGATGGGAAGTGACTGCTAATGGTGATAGGGTTTGATTTTGGGGTGATGAAAATGCCTTAAAAATTCGATAATGTTGATGTTTTACAACTTGTGAATATATTAAAAAGACCACTGATTGTAAAAAAAACAAAACATCACCGCAAACAACAAACAAAAAATAATAAAACTAATGTAAACTAACAATAATGGGAGCTTCCTGAAACAAAGTAAAATCAAAACTGTATGATTAAATTACTCTATATTTACTGTCACTCAAAAATAAGTTTCTGTGACTGGGATGCCCTGTGACCTGACTTAGTTGGAATTGGACTTAGATGTTGCAGCACGTAGTTAACTCTGACATCAGACCAGTTCAGCCACACGTGCTGCACATCCAGCTTCCAAAGCTCGGGCCTAGGATGTTCCCGTCCCCTCACTCCCTTTGATGGAAAAGACACACTCACATCGAGGAGCACAAAACTCCATGGGACTCTGGCTGAGTGTGTGATGTGTCACTTCCTGTGTTCTCAGTTGGAGTCTTCTGTGGCCAGACCTGCATTTCTGGTGCCAGGAGAGGGCTTCATCTCTGTTTCATAGTTGCAGGGTCTCCTGATGCTGCCCATGCGTGTGGAAATGGATTCCAGCCTGCAGAGGCACAGCTTCCAGGGCTCCCTTCCTCCCCAAGGGGCTTCCTTGTGACTGGTGTTTGTGGGACCTAAGCTTGGTCCTTCAGGTGGACAGGGACTGTTCCCCAAGTCCTTACCTGGCGGTTTGTGCCTCTCTGGGCAGCTCGTAGGAGCGGCTTTCTCTTCTCCTCCAAAGATACAGAAGTTATTTCATGTGTCATCTGTGACAAGCCAGTGCACATAGGATCACGGGACGGTCTGCCCATGTCCAGGTTCAAGGCCCTGCTCTGAAGGTGACAGCTGTCTCTGCAGTGACCAGACTTCTGTTTGGCCTGTTAGCAGAGTCTCTACATCACTCCCAGGAAAGGAGCTTGTTTCTTCCCCAGGTCGAGGGCTGTAACCAGGGTCCCCATCTAGAGAACTGGTTAGGGTTTACTTGGCAAATAAGTCAACCTTGCTGTTTCTTAAAGGGGATCACAAACAGGCCCCCTGAATGCCTTAGCAGCGCCCTCACCAGAAGAAAATGGGACTTTTGTCATGCTGAGGGGCACTGCTGTACTCCTCCGCTTCCAGTTAAAGGAGCACGGGACCTCTGCCAGTGCCACCCTGTTGGGGAGCGTCAACAGTTCTGGAGAGGACAGTGGCATTGACATCGCTGCAGCAGCCGCTTCTGCTCAGAGTCGCAGCCATGCTCTGCCGTTTCCAGGGCACGGCTTCGCCTGCCCTTTGCTTTGCTTTGCTTGGCAGTTCGACAAAGGAGCCTTGCAAATTACTCCAGGCAAAGACTTTAATGCTGGGGGAAAGTGAAGTTGTGGTAAAGTTCTGATATTTTGAATTGGAGTCATCTTACCAAAATCCCTTTGTGGTTTGACTTTTTTAGAAATCGAGTTTCCTTACTCGGTGGCTTCATACTTTCCTTTCCACAGGTGCAGCCTGGTCCACTGAGAGGCACAGGTTCCGTGGGGCCTGCTCGTCTCTTTTCCTCTTTCTTCCAGGCCTGATACAGAGGCAGACAGATATTCACGAGCATAATGCCAGCATCTGCCTCCTTGCAGAATTATTAAAGAAAGATTGTCGTCGATGTCACGGACTCGACACTGCCTGAAAGGATAGTCATTCATGTCCTTGACAGTGACATCCTGTGCTCCACTCTGTATTTGTGAAGTGTGAAGCCACATGCTCATCACTTTTTGTATTTTTAAAAATTGTAAAATATAACAAAATTTACCATTTTCACCTTCTCCCAGCATACAGTTGAGTGGCATTAAGTACATTCACATTGTTGTGCAGCCATCACCACCTTCCACTTGCAGAAGCCCTGCGTCACCTCCGGAGAAGCTCTGTGCGTATTAAGCAGTTAACTCCACTCTTCTTCCCCTGGCCCTGGCAGCTACCACTCTACTTTCTGTGCCTGTGCATTTGAGTTACCTCGTGTGAGTGCAATCATATGCTAGGTCTCCTTTTGTGTATGGCTTATTTCACTTAGCACAATATTTTCAGGGTTCATCCAGGTTGTAACATGTATGAGAATTTCATTCCTTTTTATAGCTCAGTCATATTCCACTCTATGGATGTGCCATGTTTTGTTTATCCATCTCTCCACTGACGGACACTTGGGTTGTTTCCAGCTCTTGTTTACTGTAATGCTGCTGTGAACATTGATTCAGGTATCTGTTTGAGTCTGTTTTTGGCTCTTTCAGGTATATACATAGGAGCGGAATTGTTGGATAATATGATAATTCTATGTTGAACTTTTCTGAGGAACTGTAAGACTTTCCCACAGTGGCTGCACCCTCCAGTAGTGTGTGAGGGTTCCAGTTTCTTCTCCTCAGCAACAGTTCAGTCTGTTTTTATAAGAGCCTTCCTAATGGACGTGAAGTGGTAGCTTCCTCCTGTAGTTTAATGCAAAGAATTATTTTTCAGACATTTTTTAGAGACACAGGAAGATCACTAATAACCACTTACTCACTTTTATGTGCTCATGCATCTGGGGCCCCCATGCCGCCCACCAGCAGGGTCTGTAGGTGGCAAATTAGGCTTGATCCACCCTGTGCAGTGAGACCCCAGAGGGTGACTCGTGTATGTTCTTTCTCCGTAGCTCCCAGGAGGCAAAGACTTCAAAGGTGGAGCCACACAGCCATTCAGATGTCCCTTTCCAGATGCTAGATGGCAATAGCGGTCTGAGTTCTGAGAAGATCAGCCACAACCCCTGGAGCCTGCGCTGCCACAAGCAGCAGCTGAGCCGCATGCGCTCTGAGTCTAAGGACCGAAAGCTCTACAGTATCCTTGTTACTGCTGCTTCAGCAGCATCTGCTGCTGGGACGATGGGTGCTGGGTCAGGGTTCCCTCAGCACGGCTGAAACCCTTTCTGCTCAGGGCTCCCTCTTTTGTTCTCATCTTCCTTTTTCATAGGCTCTTCTTTCTCTTCTTCCTCCTTACTTTCATCAGCATAGTCTTTTATGCTTTTTGGGGTTGTTAAGGCTGAGTCTTAAACTTGGGAGTCTGGAAGACTCCCAATAGAACTTTCTGTGCCAATGGAAGTATTCTGTACCTATGCTTTTTATTAGTATGGTAGACACTGAGTATACTACAATCTGGCTGCTGTGACTTGAGTTACTGAATTTTAAATTTATTTAATTAAAATTTAAATCACCAAATGTGGCTAGTGGCTACCATATTTATCAGTACACGTCTAGAATCAGGGATCTGTGTGTGTGCGCGTGCGCACGCGCTCACAGACATGCAAACGTGTATTTCTCACCTCCCAAAAGATAATAATTAAAAAGTAATGTGTTTGATTTTGGTGTTCTGTTTGTTTTTGTTTTTTATCTAAAGATAAACACATACCTGTACAATGTAAAATAGTTTTAAGATGTTGAAGGTAAAAAGTACTAATTATGAAGTGGGAATCCTTATAAACATTTGGTGTTTGGCAGCAGTAGACAGTAAATAACTAATACTTACTGAGAAACCGAGGGGAAAAGTGCTGAGCATCTCATACATACACGCCTCATAATAGTCTTTGAGGGAGGAACTCTTACGATTCCTTCTGTAGGTGAAGAAATGGAAGCACTGGAGCGTAAGTGTGTCCAGAGCCAGGGAGTGGCCAGAGCAGGATTCAAGAGCCCATGCTCTCAGGCACTAAGATGCTCCTATAGCCTTTCTTAGGATTTATTGTCACTTATTTATAGGTTAAGGAAGGTAATCGGTTAATTTAAGGCCCAATGTAATGGTTTTCTGTAAG